GGGTTAATTTGGGGAGGGGTCTCAGGGGGTTAATTTGGGGAGGGGTCTCAGGTTAATTTGGGGAGGGGTCTCGGATGTCGGGGTTAATTTGGGGAGGGGTCTCAGGGTTAATTTGGGGAGGGGTCTCAGGGGGTTAATTTGGGGAGGGGTCTCAGGTTAATTTGGGGAGGGGTCTCGGATGTCGGGGTTAATTTGGGGAGGGGTCTCAGGGTTAATTTGGGGAGGGGTCTCGGGGTTAATTTGGGGAGGGGTCTCGGATGTCGGGGTTAATTTGGGGAGGGGTCTCAGGTTAATTTGGGGAGGGGTCTCCCCCAGGCTGGCCCCCAACTCGCGGCCCAACCCCCACCGGAGCCCCCTGGGCACGGGGAACTACGACATCAACGTGGTGATGGCAGCGCTGGGCACGCTGGGGCTGGCGGCCGTCTGGTGGGACAAACGGCGGTGAGACCCCTCCCCAAATTCCGACAGACCCCAGACCCAAATCCCGCACCCCTCCCGGGACCCCCCACCCAAATTTGGGGCTGCTCCGAGACCCCAGACCCAAATTCTGGACCCCTGATTCAATGGGAACCTCGCGAATCTCTCGTTTCTCCTGGGGTGTGTTGGGACAAAAGGTGGTGAGACCCCTCCCCAAATTTTGGATGGATTCTCGAGACCCCAGACCCAAATTCTTGGCCCCTCCCGGGACCCCCCACCCAAATTTGGGGCTTCTCTGAGACCCCAGACCCAAATTCTGGACCCTCAACCCAATGGGAAACCTGCAAATTTCTCATTTATCCTGGGGTGTGTTGGGACAAAAGGTGGTGAGACCCCTCCTCAAATTTGGGATGGAGCCTCGAGACCCCAGACCCAAATTCTGGACCCCTCCTGGGACCCCCCACCCAAATTTGGGGCTTCTCTGAGACCCCAGACCCGAATTTGGCACCTCTCAAATCTCTCCCCCCCCACCCATTTCAGTGCCTGCAATGCCCACAATCGATCCGAGACCCCTCCCCAAACTCAAACCGACCCCTCCCCAAATTCAAACCGACCCCCTGAGACCCCTCCCCAAATCCAAACCGACCCCTCCCC